GTGACGAGTGAACAGCTTCTTTCCCTGAAGCACAATGCCAGCCTCCCCGCTTAGAGCAGGCCCTCCCGCAGAGGGGGAGCCCGCAGCGTGTCTGGCACCATTCCCTCTCCCCCGACTCTGGTCTCCTCCTCGAGAGATGACCTGGCCCCATGCTCAGGCATTGGCCTGGGGCTCAAGGAACCTGGCCTTCCTTCCTGGCTCTGCCACAGATGCCTTGAGTGCGTCACTTAGGCGGTGACAACACGAGAGGGCACCAATGCAGCCACGCTGCTGTAAGCTGTCGAGTGTAGCCACTCCGCGTCAGCAGGAGAGAGACGGGGTCCCACCACCTGAATCGACCCACCCCATCGAGCACCAACATAGTGCAGCCACACCGGCCCTAGGGTCAGTGTAGCATACGTCAGCTCTTGTTCACACGCCTGAGCGACATACATTATACCGCCATAAGTGAACGTGTAGACGTGGCCTTCATCTGGCTAAACTAGATTCTGAATTTCTTCCTCCCAGGGGTGTGCAGTTCACATAAGAGCGGCCACGCTGGGTCAGACCAAAGGTCCATCTAGCCCAGTGTCCCGTCTGCCGACAGTGGCCAGTGCCAGGTGCCTCAGAGGGAATGAACAGAACAGGGAATCATCAAGTGATCCAGCCCCTATCACCCATTCCCAGCTTCTGGCAAACAGAGGCTAGGGACACCATTGGCTAACAGCCATTGATGGACCTATCCGCCATTAACATTAGTTCTTTTTTGAACCCTGTTATCGTCTTGGCCTTCACAACATCCTCTGGCAAAGAGTTCCACAGGTTGACTGTGCGTTGTGTGAGGAAGAACTTCCTTTTGTTTGTTTTAAACCTGCTGCCTCTTAATTTAATTTGATGGCCCCTAGTTCTTGTTTTATGAGGAGTAAATAACACTTCCTTATTTACTTTCTCGACACCAGTCATGATTTCATAGACCTCTATCATATCCCCCCTTAGTCGTCTCTTTTCCTAGCTGAAAAGTCCCGGTCTTATTAATCTCTCCACATATGGAAGACGCTCCATCCCCCTAATCATTTTTGTTGCCCTTTTCTGAACCTTTTCCAAGTCCAATAGATCTTTTTTTGAGATGGGGCGACCACATCTGCATGCAGGATTCAAGATGTGGGCGTACCACGGATTTATGTAGAGTGTGACAAAGTTCCTCCTCTGCCTTGGTGGGTCCTGCGTTTATTGGCAGATTTGCTCGCCTCAGAGATTCATGGCAGCCCTCAGTTTGGCCACTTTTGCTAATGGCTCAAACCTGCCATTCATTCAGCTAACCTCATCGCTGGCCAGCATGGGGAAAAGGAAGGAGAACAATCCCCACAGTCTCTGCTGGTCCATCTAGTGGGTCAGGGGACAGGCCAGGGACCTTCCCCTCTGGTGGGACCCACAGTCCAGGTCAACTCCTCCTGTATCCAATAGGGAGTTGGGGGGAACCCGGGCCCACCCTCTACTCCAGGTTCTAGCCCAGGGCCCTGTGGATCACAGCTGTCTATAGTGTTTCGTGTAACACCTGTGTAACAGCTACAACTCCCTGGGCTACTTCCCCATGGCCTCCTCCCAATACCTTCTGTATCCTCACCACAGGACCTTCCTCCTGATGCCAGATAGCGTTTGTACTCCTCAGTCCTCCAGCAGCAAGCCCTCTCACTCTCAGCTCCTTGCGCACCCCTCACTGACTGGAGTGAGGTCCTTTTTAAACCAGGTGCCCTGATTAGCCTGACTGTCTTGATTCTAGCAGCTTCTTAATTGGCTCCAGGTGTCCTAATTAGCCTGTCTGCCTTAATTGGTTCCAGCAAGTTCCTGATTATTCTGGAACTGCCCTTTTTACCTTACCCAGGGGAAAGGGACCTATTTAACCTGGGGCTAATATATCTGCCTTCTATCCACACTCCTGTCCCTGTTATTTCATTAGTTGTCCCCCGGAATCACTTGGTTTCCAGGTCCTGTGGATCCTCCCCTTAGCCTGCGGGTGGGCCCTTTAGCAGTGGGTGGGCTTCTGCCCACCCGTTCCTGGATCCCAATAGGATCACTCTCCTGTAGCCAACTGGCCTGACCCTGTCACAAGAGGCAATATGATATTTTCTGTCTTATTATCTATCCCTTTCCTAATGATTCCCAACATGCTGTTCACTGTTTTGACAGCCGCTGCACATTGAGTGGATGTTTTCAGAGAACTATCTGCAATGACTCCATGATCTCTTGCTTGGTTACAGCCAATTTAGAACTGAGACTGGCCACTCAGTGCCCCATCTGTGAAATAGGGGTGACTGTCCTTTCTTTCTCCCACCTTTTCTCTGTCTTATCTGCTTAACTGTGAGCCCGGGGGCAGGAACTGTCTCCTCCTTAGTGTCTATGCAGCACCTAGCACAATGGGGCTCTGATTTACTTTAATAGCGATAAAGACTGAAATCAGAATCACAGCCAGTGACAGAGCAGAGGTCTTGGGAATAGTCTGACACTGCACAGCAATGGATTGGTTTTGATTCATTGTCACCTAGGAACGACAGCAATAACCGAGAGAAGATCGGGTGGGATCGGACACCATCTTGGGCTGGTACCATTGTCCTTGTTTCATGTGTTTATAACCTTGGTTCCCAACTCCCAACTTTGACCAGTCCTTGGTGTCACACTGTGGACTCCAGCAGACTAAGTAGCTAATGCAGGTCTTCTTTAAGCATCCACACTCTGCTTTGGCCCCGGGGTGACACATGCCTGTCACTGTCCTTCCTGCTCTTCCTCGGGTCAAGTGAAAGGCTGCTGACCTGTACTGTGTTATTTGGTGGCATCCTTAGTATCAGAAGCCATGCCAGGAGCTTTGCTCCTTACTCTGGTTTAGACATTAGAAAGATCATAACCCGTAGCAAGGGAAATGCTGAATCTGATCTCCAGCCTTGATGGGTACAGAAAAGAGGATTTTGTTTTGAATATATTTCTTACTTTTAAATCTCCGCATGTAATTGCACAGGGTTGGATTCTGCCACTCCTACTCACCATGAGTTGGGCCTTGCTCCTTGAGGAGCCCCATCCATTTCAGTGGGACTACTCACCTAGTCCAGTGCTACTCTGCATGAGTAAAGGTGGCAGCAGCTGGCTCTTAAGCAGTTTTGAGGAGAGAGCCTTTCCGCTCCCTTCTGAAGGAGGCTCAGAACCCATCAATTCTTGAAGTCAAGACCCTCTCCCCTCCTCCCTCCGTGAAAGCAGCGGCCCTTTGAAGCCTTGCCGAAGGAATCTCAGCTGTTTGCTGGGGTGGCTTCTAATCTTGGTTGAGAGTTGTACGCTCAGCCCGTTCCTCGGATGCCATGGAAGGGAGCCCTTAGGACAGTAGTGAAGTTGGAGTTAACAGGGCCTGGTTTAATTAAACAGTCACTATATTGCTAGAGAGGAGGTGGGCGAGGTCACATCTTGTATTGGCCCAGCATCTGTTGGTGGAAGGTACACGCTTTCGAGCTGCACTGAGCTCTGCTTCCCATCTGGGGAAGGAAGAAGAGCTAAATACACCTAGGGACAGATTGTCCAGCAGATGGGGAACCGCATGTTGGAGGTGGTCCTTTGAAATGAAGTGGTCAGTTGTGGGTTAGATTGTTATGTAGAAAGGGTTTGAAGCAGGCAATTAAGGGTAGCGGGCAGTGTGGTGTGTTACAAATGAGCCATAAAACCAGGGTCCCTGTTAAGTCCATGGTGTCCAGCAAAGTTATGAATTCAAGTTGGCAGATCTGCCTTTTGCAGATGTTTGGCAGGTTTCCTTTGAGGACAAGTATTGAAAGATCAGCTAGAGAGTGATCTCTTTGTGAAAAGTGCTCGCCCATGGGTGACAGTGTGATTTTGTCTTTTATCATTTTCTGTTTGAGTTCATTTGAGAGTGTTGTGATTGTCTGGTTTCACCCACATAGCTGTTATTGGGCCATTTGATGCACTGGATGAGGGACACTGTGTTGTGATAGGCACGTGTTGGCTCAGGGATCTTGAAAGGTGTGCTGTGGGGGGTGTTGATCACTGTAGCAGTGGTCCTGGTCTGTGGGGAGCTTGCTTCTGATGATGAGCTTGGCAAGGTTGGGGGATTGTTTGAAGGCCAGAAGAAGGGGGTTCAGGAAAGATTTTTTTTCAGGATGTGATCCCCATTGGCAACAACACTGCAAACAGTTGTATTGCCAGTCAGTCCCCCTGGAGAGAGGCCCTTTGGCCACAGCTATCAACAGTCAAAAAAGAACTCAACAGCAAATGATAATGGTGAGAGTAATTAACCACTGGAACAACTTCCCCAGGTGCCCGGTAGATTCGTCATCACTGGCCATTTTCAAACGGGGGTGGTATGTTTTGCTAAAAGCTCTACTCTAGGAATTATTTGGGGGTGGGTCTCTGGCCTGTGCTCTGCAGCGGGGTCAGCCCAGATGATCACAACGGTCCCTGCTGGCTTTGAGAGCTAGGAACCTCTTCCCAAGCTTCTTCTCCCAGCTGTTGGGCACAAACGTTCCCTTTCAGAGTCTGGATCAAACTTCCTCCTTGTCTATTGATTAATGTGCCGGTAATAAGAGGGGCTTAGCCCTCCGCTCCCAGCTGTTCTGCATCGCACTTTCCCAGCCCCAGCAATGCTCCCCAAACCAGAGCGCCCCACTCTGACTGCGCCAAAGGGGGCTGTGGAGAGAGACCGGCAGGGGAAGGTCCCCGCTCACCTTGTCCGCCCAGGGGGGGAAGTGACACCCCCGCTGGCTGAGGCGGCCCGCCCGTGCTTTGGGGGGGCTGAGCCCCTTCCCCCCTCCCCCCCCGTGCGCTCCGCAGGTCCCAGGGAGGGGGCGGGTCTCCAGGCAGCTCCGCGCTCAACCCATCGCGGGCGAAACTTCAGCCAGCCCCGGCGCCGCAGCCCGCCAGCGCCGTGAACCCGCGGCTCCCCCGGCCGCCTCCAGCCGCCTCTGCCTCCCGTCCCGCGCCCGGGGAGCGCTGCCCCGCGGGCCGCCCGTGCCCCGCGGAGGGCGGGCGGCGGCTGTTTGCAGGCGGGGCGCGGGGTGGCTCGGACTCCGGCAGCGCGCACTCCGCCCGGCCCCGCCGGCCGCCAGCGCAGCCTCCCCGCCCGGCGTCCAGGTTCGTACCGCCCTTTGTCCGCCCGCTTCTCCTCCTTCCCCCGGCCCGGCCTCCTGCCCGCCTAGGCCCCGCTCCGCGCCCCGGCCTGCCGCCGCCGCGGGCTTCAGCACCGCGGGCGTGGACAGCTCCCTGCGCCCCGGGCGCGCCCCGCCTCGCCAGCCAGCGGGGCGAGATCCCCGCGGGGCCCGGGCCCGGCCCCGGCCCCGGCCCCGGCCCCCGGCCTCTTCCGCAGCAGCAGCCCCGCAGCGGCGGCGGGAAGGGGCCTGCTCGGTCCGGGTTGGGGCCTGGCTCCCCCGTGCCCCCAGCCCGCAGGGCTCCCCGCGCCGGCTCGGGGCTGCTCTCCGGCTACCCCGGGGCGCAGCAGCCCCCCAGTCACGGCGCGGATCTCCCTGCCTCCGTTCCCCGCGCCTCTTCATAGCAGGGCGGGTTATTGTGTGTGTGTGTGTGTGTGTGTGAGCCTTTAATTAGCCCATGGCTCCCGAGCCTGCAGGGCCCTGGAGCTGAAACAATGAATAAAAGGGGCTCCCGCCCACCGCCCTCTTATGTAAGCAAGGTGAAGAATAGCAGCGAGAGGAGGACGAGCTGCGTCCTGGGGGTGGGGGGAGATGATGCGGGATTCCCCCAGGAACCCGCCCTCCACCCCCAGGGCAGCACAGCTGCTTCCTCCCCCTGCAGCCAGGGCTTGCTTACGGGCCTGCTTCCAGCAGGATTGCAGACCCAAGAACAGGGAAAGCAGGGGAAATCTTTGTCCGCTCCATGCAAAGAGGCCTGGGGCACTGCAGAGCCGCGAGGGGACGCTCCCCCACCCCACCCCCAAAAAAAAACCCTCCTGAAACTAGGTGTGGGGTTTTGGAGGGATGGCTCCTGCTGCCCGCAATAAAGCCAGGTGTATGCACTGCGAGGTGGAAGGGGCCCAGGCAGGCAATGGGGCTGTCCCATGGCTAAGGAAAGGAAAGTGCAATTCAAATGTGCCTATTGCAATTAGAAGGGGTTGCTGGCAAAGGCCATCTGATGAATGGCTCTTGCCAAGCCAAGAACAGGCAGGCCATGATAAGATCGTGGCCTGATAGAAAGCCCATCGGGCTGAATAGACAGACTCCCACTGAAGTCAGTGTGTTTTGCATTAGGCCTTTACACACTGGGGAAGTGCAGCTGGGGGCTCTCTACACACTTCCGGCATTTCTAAAAACCAGGTCCCTCGTGAGCAGAGCAGTCAAAGGGAAGCGAGTCGTCTGTCCCCTGCTCCATCATATGTCTCCCATCACTACTCGGGTTCTTGGCACAGGCATCTACAGTTCCTTGGCCCAGCCAGTCCGTCCTAAACACCCCGCTGATGGACCTCGCACCTTACAAGACGTCTCCACTGGCCCTGTTCTTAGGCGGTTCCCTGGTATGCAGACTATATTCTCCTTTTCCTTAGTTCACCCCATTTCTCTTAGTGCTATCTTGCTGACCCGCCCGCCCTCCTGTGCCTCCCATGGTATTCCTCTCCCTCCTTATTTAACATCTTATTTAGACACTCATCCTGCCCCTCCACTGTCCGTCTCCTAGCCAAGCTGCAGCTGTTTAGCCCTTTTAAGCTTTTGTACCTCACGAACCAGTCCATCCAAACCCCTAATCATTTCCATTGCATTTCCCCCAGTCCCCTCTGTGAAGTGAGGAGCGGGGTGCACAGTGGGAGCCAAGTCGCAGCATCTGCTCTTAGAAGCAGGTTTTGTGAACACAAAGTGCTTTAGGCAGGTGAGCTGCCCACCTAACGCAAGTGAGAAGGCCCATCAGTATTGGTGGGCTGACTTGCGTGAATAAGGCAACCAGGATTTGGCTCTGAGTTTCAGAATGGGTGGCCTGGGGAGGGCGCCTGATGCTGGGTTTTTCAGAGCTATCTGCTGGAGCTTAAGACGTAGGGTGCAGGCTGTTAACGCAGGTTAAAAGAAGGAGTTGGGTTGGCGGGGCATCAGCCCATTCCTGCTTGCAGAACAGTGCATGGCTACGAACAGAGATCAGCCCCGTACTGTACACCAGCAGCGTCTCAGTGCTAGGCCCTGCTGTAAGATTTGAACTCGTGTGTGTTGAAAGCTTGCTCAGAGTGCTATCCCCGGGGTAGCTGGGCCAGTGCTGGAATCCAGCGGCTCATTTACCTGTGTAGCAGAGGCCGGAGAAAGTTCATTGAAGACAGATTGACACATAAGAACATGTTTCAAAGTCAGCCTTGGCTGGGGCTGAGCGTTTGTTTCTTCGACTGCCTTATGGGATAGCATTAGTATTGAAATGATTCCAACTAGTCACAGCTATTAACACCTCCCAGAGGGGGATGAGAAATGCAGTTCACGCCTTAACTACTCCTGGTGTTGATTTGGAGCCCCCGGCAGCCACACTGATCGAGCAGACCCAGTGCTCTTTGTCAAGGATCTCTACACAGGGAAGGAAAAGAAATGACATCACAGTTTTAAATCATGAGAAGCCTCAGCGGAGATCAGGGCTCCCATGTGGCAGGAATGGTGGGCAGAGTAAGAGACAGTCCAAAGAGCTCCCAGTTTAAACAGACAAAGGCAGGAGACAAATACAGGTGAAGGGACTTGCCCAAGGCATGCAGCAGGTCAGTGGCAGGAGTAGAGGCCAGGTCCTCTGATCCCCAGGCCAGTGCCTAGCCACAAGGCCAGACTGCCTCCAGGGAACTTTTATATTCTGTAGAAAGCAGCAAAACGTTCAGGAGGAACCAACCCCTTCAATTTCTTGTTGCAATGCGTTATTTTGTGTTACCGCCATGAGCTCCTCAAGCAGGGATTGTGTCTATAGTATCAGTATAGTATCAGTAAACTGATACTAAACTGGGAGGAGTGGTAGATACGCTGGAGGGGAGGGATAGGATACAGAAGGACCTAGACAAATTGGAGGATTGGGCCAAAAGAAATCTGATGAGGTTCAATAAGGATAAGTGCAGGGTCCTGCACTTAGGACGGAAGAACCCAATGCACAGCTACAGACTAGGGACCGAAGGGCTAGGCAGCAGTTCTGCGGAAAAGGACCTAGGGGTGACAGTGGACGAGAAGCTGGATATGAGTCAGCAGTGTGCCCTTGTTGCCAAGAAGGCCAATGGCATTTTGGGATGTATAAGTAGGGGCATAGCGAGCAGATCGAGGGACGTGATCGTTCCCCTCTATTCGACATTGGTGAGGCCTCATCTGGAGTACTGTGTCCAGTTTTGGGCCCCACACGACAAGAAGGATGTGGATAAATTGGAGAGAGTCCAGCGAAGGGCAACAAAAATGATTAGGGGTCTGGAACACATGACTTATGAGGAGAGGCTGAGGGAGCTGGGATTGTTTAGCCTGCAGAAGAGAAGAATGAGGGGGGATTTGATAGCTGCTTTCAGCTACCTGAAAGGGGGTTCCAAAGAGGATGGCTCTAGACTGTTCTCAATGGTAGCAGATGACAGAACGAGGAGTAATGGTCTCAAGCTGCAGTGGGGGAGGTTTAGATTGGATATTAGGAAAAACTTTTTCCCTAGGAGGGTGGTGAAACACTGGAATGCGTTACCTAGGGAGGTGGTAGAATCTCCTTCCTTAGAGGTTTTTAAGGTCAGGCTTGACAAAGCCCTGGCTCAGATGATTTAACTGGGAATTGGTCCTGCTTTGAGCAGGGGGTTGGACTAGATGACCTTCAGGGGTCCCTTCCAACCCTTATATTCTATGATTCTAGCTTGATGTTTGTACAGCGCCTAGCGCATCCAGGTCCTTGTCCTCAGCAGGTCTCCTGGGTGCTACCACGTTATCAATATGAAATAAGAATGAAGGTGACTTGGGATTCTTATCAGCCAGATGGATCATTTAGCTTCCTCCTCTCATTTCCTAGTGTATAGACAACACAAACCTTTTTAAGAAGAAAAAAAAAAAACCCTGAGAACTTCAGGTACAAGCAGGGGTTTAAAGTCAGAGTTATCAGCACAGATGAGAAGTCAGGCAAATGGAATGACTGCTCCTGGAAGTGTCCTTGGGAGAGACGCAGGGAGCTGAAAGGATATTTGTCATTGCTGCTTCATGTCCCTTTTGTTGGCTTTTTAAAAGTGCCCAGCATTGGCCTACCTCTGTTCCCATTGAACTCAGTGCAGCTGCACTGATATGGTGAGTGCCAGCAGCGGGGCAGCTGTTCAGAGCATCCGCACAGTTTGGAACTTTCATTAGTAATGGAAACTGCCTCTGTGCCACCCACTTTCCTTGATCTATATGTTGCCCGACACCCGAGAGAGGGGAAATCCTAGCCTGACTCCCGGGCACTTCATTGCCTGGGAGTCTCTCAGATGAGACCTTACCCCGTAGCTTTGGTCTGCTGTCTGTGGCCGTTCATGATCCCAGGGCACGTTTTCATATGACTTGCTGCTGGCCCATTGTCTTTGTCCAAAATTTCATCTCCCTGCCATTGCTGCACTGCGAATTTTATGGTCGCTGCTCGGCCCCAGAGGTGGCTGCATTTAAGCGGTGCTGAATGTACAAAGTTTATAAAGTGCTTTGAGATCCCTCCAGACGAAAGGGACTAGAGAAATGTGATAGGTTCATATAAACGCATGCACCCTATCACAAATGCCTGTGAGAACTGTTTGACCGTCTCTCTGACACTCTCCATTCAGCCCCTTGACATCAAAGCCCGGCTGCAAATGGGGGCAGATTTCAGGCCCCGGATGGGCTGGATATGGGGCGGGCAGATGGTGTGTTTTAATTGGAAGCCATTTCCCCAGAACTTAGCTGATCTGTGACCCTCTTTCCCACACCCGAACGCTCCGGCTGTTGTGGAACTCACAGCTGCTGCTGCCGCGCTGGGAGAGCTTTGTTCTGCCGCTGGGGGAAGCGTTTTGTGGAGATGATTGGCACGAAAGACCCTGTGCAAAGTTTTCCTGCCTGTGTGGTTCATGCGCCTCTTTTCCTCGCTCACATCTTCCCGAGCTGCAGTTTTTTAAAAATGCAGAGGTTTTAAAAGACAAACGCGCCCTGCTTTGAAGCGCAGAT